CTTTTTTGGAGCCCTTCTTGGGCGCAGACTTTGCAGGTTCAGGCATACTGATCAGTTACTACTTCACAGAATCAGATGAGTCTGTAAGGTAAGGAGCGACAGTTTATAGCCAGCCTCCATGCAAATGAGGATGTGTGGTCCCCTTCCTGTGATTGGTTGACTGCTCACTGAGGAGGAGGTGGTCATGTTTCCATAGTATCCTGCCTTACCCTGCAGTCTGGAGCCAATTTGTGCAGAGAAAGAGGAGGACAGATTTGGTAAAATAACTTCCAGCTGTTATTAAAAATCATGAACAATAAGCTTTAGGATCAATTGCAAAAAACAGGAGTTTGGATCGGAAAAGAGAGAAGAAAAAAAAGATTAATGAGAAAATTAGTTAGCATTTTCAAAAACCTTCACACTATCCAAACGTCTCTTCCTGTCAAATATTCTCTGTTCACCCAACAAAATGATAACTAAAGTAAACAGTGTATGAACTTAAGAATATGAGGAGTTTAGGTGCAGTGGAGCAGGTTCAAAGAAGCTTATTTACCATTTCTTGAAATGCTCTTGAGATATGTATAGGCAATTACTTAAATACAAAAACTTGGGCAACTGATGGCAGAGGTTAGAAAACAATAAAATAATGATTAGAGAGTATTAGATGTTTGGTGGCTGATCTGTGTTGGTAAAATTTTGGTGAGCTGTAGTTTCATGTTTATATAGCATAAGAACATAACACAGTCACTGCCCTGAAAACAAAAGCAAGGTCTTAAATTCCAGTTTGACGACATGGTAGCTATTATGTATAGTTAAAAAAAAAATATATGCCATCCACATAAGAAGTGATGCAAGTCGGTATGGACGGTGATAGGGACATGCAGCACGTTCCTTCACTGGCGATCTCAGTCAGACAGTCATGTAGGCTCTGTAGGTACAACATGGACATGTTTCAAATATAAATTGATATTAAAAATTGTCCTGCTCCTCACAGTGTGTTGAGCGGTTGTGATGTGACACTAAACTCGTAACGTCGCACATTGTCGTTTGATACACTAATCAAAGGAAGACTGTAGCTTTCTTTTGTTTTACGGGGCTGTTCTGTTATTCATAACATTTGTCAATGAATTCATAATATTGTTATATAATATACAAAGGACATGAGCTCTTTCTGACTCAGTGTTTGGCTCTTAAAAGAGCTGTTGTGTTGTTTTGTTTTGTTTGTTGGTGGTTGAAGAGTTTAACCGCCGAAGCCGTACAGAGTGCGTAGTAGTATATTTTACAATTTGTAACAAAGATTAAACTTAAACTTATTTGGCGCACAACCAGAGAAGTGGCTAACAGGGAAATCATGCATAAAAGTAAAGGATATGGGGAGTTTAGTTGCATTAAAGCTTGGCAGCAGGTAAAAAGCAGCATCTGTTATAAATGTTTGTGCCATTTCTCTGAATGTGGTGAAACAGAAGGGAAATCAAAATTTCAGTCCATATATGGAAATTTTATTAGATAAATCAATCTATGCATATAGTGGAGTGTATTAACTTACTGCTTTCCATATATATGGGGGATCACCTAATCACAAAAACCCAATTAAGGGCAAAATTATAGGTTATAAAAATACAGAAACCCTTTCAGGGAGCATTAGAAGTGCCTGATCTGTAGTTTCAATGCTCTTTATGTAAGAACATGAAATCAACTGAAGAATACCAGACACACCATAGTCATATCAAACAGACTGATGCACAGTGACGTGACCATGAAGCACGTCCTGACCCTCTGCAGGGGAAGGTTGCACGTACTGCGACACTGATCTGAGACCAGCATTGATTTCAGCAACCATTACACTTTAATGTTAAACATGGACGTCTCTTGTCAGTTGTTTATTGAAACAACTATGATAAGGAAGTTTGCCGTTTATATAGATGTATTATGGGGCAGCTATTGTTAGGAAAATGATCAAATAAACTCAGAAATACCGTCTGAAATTCACAGGAGTAGGATATTTATTCTTGCAGCGAGGGAACAAGTTACACAAAGAGTTTGCATACAAATGTTCAAAGAATACAAAGTTCACACAGAATTTATAACATGAGAGTGACCTCACATCGTTGCTGATATGAGACACACTCATAAGACGTGTGTGGGTGCAGTAGCTGGGAAGAACAAAGGGTCACTCCCTGATTCTTGTCTTGAAAATTAACAACTTTATAGTAGGAAGAGTTCACTGTATACAGTTCTTCTTTAGGTTTATTATGTTTATCTAGTCATAAAGTATCAATTTTCCCAACAGTTGTGTCCTGTTATTGTTATCAATTTATAAAACGTTATATACAAAGGACATGAGCTCTTTCTGACTCAGTGTTTGGCTCTTAAAAGAGCCGTTGTTTTGTTTGTTGGTGGTTGAAGAGTTTAACCGCCGAAGCCGTACAGAGTGCGGCCCTGTCTCTTCAGAGCGTACACCACGTCCATGGCGGTCACGGTCTTCCTCTTGGCGTGCTCGGTGTAGGTGACGGCATCACGGATCACGTTCTCCAGGAACACCTTGAGCACACCGCGGGTCTCCTCGTAGATCAGACCGGAGATACGCTTGACTCCGCCACGGCGAGCCAGACGGCGGATGGCGGGCTTAGTGATTCCCTGGATGTTATCACGGAGAACTTTACGGTGACGCTTGGCGCCTCCTTTACCGAGTCCCTTTCCTCCTTTGCCTCTTCCACTCATGTTTACTATATGGTCGACGTTTAGTCAATGGTGATCACTCTGAGCTTCACAGCTATTCAACCCCTGTCTGAGGACGTGATAGAAGACAGAGCAGAGGTGGGTAACTTCTTCTTCTGTGGATTTTCATGGTCGTTGATAATGAAGTCTTTGGTGCATTAGCGCCACCTCCTGAACCGGAGCATGAATCATTCACAGAGAGACTACCAGGACTGAGTTGGACATAAAAAAGTTAACACTGTTGCACTCTGTTCAGCGTAGTCCATTAGACCACATTATTTAGCATTATTTAATTTTCTTAATGGTGCTGGAATCCTCCTGTTTGTAAGATTACATTTTTAGATTTAATTATTCAACAGTAACCTGAGGGGTACAAAAATCAATTCTGCTATGATTAATGTGAGTCAAAGATGCCTGAAGAAAATTAAATGCAGTAATTAAAGACTATATATATTTCTCCAAACCACATTCAGTATACAGTATAGGACTGAATATGTTCTTCACGTTTGGCAAAGATCTAGATTGGGTTGTTGACTGTGACATAGGCATTATGGACTTTTCAGACCTTGCTCTTTATTTAAAACTGAATCTGGACATGATCAAAGAAATACTTTGTGGAGATTAAACACTCATATTCTGAACTATATGAAGGATCAGAATGATAATCGCAAGGTTTCTCTGATACTTTGAGATGCATGTAAAATATTTGCAACTAAAGAACTAATTTAAAGAATGAATGGCAAAAAAAAAAGTAAGACCATCTAAAATCAGAATTGAAATACAATGAGAAATATACATCTCATCAAAAAATTACAGGACAAATAGTGAAGAAAAAGAATGAAATAAATGAGATCAACTCTGAAAAGTTATTAGTCACAAAACACAAGTATTCAGAAGATGGAGGAAAAGCCAGTAAATCAGTTGGCTTTAAAACAACAGGCTAAGGAATTCAATTCATAAAATTGAGAGTCCTCTGGCTTATATCATACAGCCCAAATTAAAAGATATACAAGTATGTTTATAAACATTTTAATCCTAATTTATATTCTCAATCATCAATTAGATTGAGTATTTCTTCTACATATCAAAACAGTAATCAGATTGCAGCTGAAATATCAGAGATGGAAATTAACAGATCAAATTGAACAAGGCTCCAGGTCCAGATGGGTTCCCATCCAAATACTACAAAACACAGTAGCATTCACTGATCCCTGTACTGCAGTCCACCTTTAACTGGGTTCTTAAGTATGTCAAACCAATTTTACAAAATTTTTACACGTATTTTGGCGAAGCAACTAGAGGGACTTTTACCACAGCTCATCAGCTTTGATGAGACAGGCTTCGCTAAAGACAAACTCATGTCAACTAGGTGTTATGGCTTCCTATGCACAACACCGTCCACTGTTGTTTTCGTATGATTGGACCAAGAACTTAAAATGTTGCACTTCTTCTACAGGCTTCCTATTAATTCAATTCAAATAGTTTTATTGGCATGAAGAAAAATAGGTTGTTGCAAAAGCAGTTTACAGATTTAAAATTAATTATTCACATACTGATACAGTCCATCGTCAGATTTACATTTAGATATATAAAATAAAAAATAAAATATTTCAGTGCAATACAAAACAATTTTATACAGTTTAATGAAGAGCATCATACATATACGTGGTTTTGGGGATGTTGTTGCGAGTCCCTCAGGCCGTGGCAGGTAGATAAATATTTAGCTGCTGGTCATTCACCTGTTAGTTTCTCCTCAGGGGTTAACATCTTAAAATAAGTTTATTATCTTGACTATTGCCTCTGAGGCCTCTGACCAGAGAGAACTAGTCACAGTAGAGAGGGAGTGCATCTGTTTCTAGATCCCCTGTCGAGCAATGACCATGTACCTTTCTGTTTCTAGTTGGTCACCGAGCCTTTATTTGGTCAGGATCCATCTGTGGTTTGAACCTCTGACAGAGGAGATCCTTGACCAATTTAATGTACTTTAGGCTTTGCTGTCATTTTTCATGACTAAGGTAGGTCCTTCAAAATATCATTTTCTTTTCTAAATATATGTGGATGTTTTTAATAACAGGGCCGCTGTTACTGTGGTATTACTTCATTGAAGAAATAGCATTATTTGTGTAAAGCAGAAGGATACTAACTGCTGTTCATCTACCTTCCCAATTTCATTAAAAAAAAAAAAAAAAAACATAATTATTGACAAATATCAACCAAAAGTGAAATGGTTAAGTTAATAGTGCCATCATACAGGAGTTTGCGCTTAAAGTTCAGAGTGAAGTGGCTCTTAAAAGAGCCGTTGTTGATGTTAGAGGAGGCCGAGACTTTAAGCTCTCTCTCCGCGGATGCGGCGGGCCAGCTGGATGTCCTTGGGCATGATGGTCACCCTCTTGGCGTGGATGGCGCACAGGTTGGTGTCCTCGAACAGTCCGACCAGGTAAGCCTCGCTGGCCTCCTGCAGAGCCATGACAGCGGAGCTCTGGAAGCGCAGGTCGGTCTTGAAGTCCTGAGCGATTTCTCGCACCAGGCGCTGGAAGGGCAGCTTGCGGATCAGCAGCTCCGTGGATTTCTGGTAGCGACGGATCTCTCTCAGAGCCACGGTACCGGGCCTGTAACGGTGAGGCTTCTTCACGCCGCCGGTGGCTGGGGCGCTTTTACGGGCAGCCTTGGTGGCCAGCTGCTTTCTGGGGGCTTTGCCTCCGGTAGATTTACGAGCGGTCTGCTTGGTTCTTGCCATTTTACTTCTTCTCTCTCTAAACAAAGTAGAAAAGTGTGAGGACTAGAGGCGACGCTCGGCTCTTAAAGCGTGGGACCGGCTGTGTAACGGTGACGCTGCTTCAGATCCCCGGTCCTCATTGGTGACGGGCTCCTCCTGGAGCTCAGCACCGCCCACAGGAGCGAGCCGCCGCTGATCCTCGGCTGCTCATTGGAGAAAAGTCCTTTCGAAATGGCCGCCAAATCTCAGAGCAGGCCGCCCTCTGCTGCTCTGCTGGAGCCTCTTTCCTGGTTGGTCTGACAGGAACAGTCCCGCTCTCTCCGCGGAGATATAAAGGAGGCTTGTGTCAGTGAACGCCACAGTTTCTCTGAGTTTACTCTGTAGAGATCATATCGAAACAACATGAGTGGAAGAGGCAAAACCGGAGGCAAAGCCAGAGCGAAGGCAAAGACCCGCTCCTCCCGTGCTGGGCTCCAGTTCCCGGTCGGTCGTGTTCACAGGCTGCTGCGCAAAGGAAACTATGCGGAGCGTGTCGGTGCCGGTGCCCCCGTCTACCTGGCGGCTGTGCTGGAGTACCTGACCGCTGAGATCCTGGAGTTGGCAGGAAACGCAGCCCGTGACAACAAGAAGACCCGTATCATCCCCCGCCACCTGCAGCTGGCTGTCCGCAACGACGAGGAGCTCAACAAACTCCTGGGCGGAGTGACCATCGCTCAGGGCGGTGTGCTGCCCAACATCCAGGCTGTTCTTCTGCCCAAGAAGACCGAGAAGCCCGCCAAGAAGTAAATCTGCTGGAAACCTCAAACACAAAGGCTCTTTTAAGAGCCACACACTCACCTCTCAAAGAACAGATCCTCGTGTCATCTGTTATTCACATGAAATACTAAGCATGAAAAGTATTCATCCAAATGGTCACTTATTGTGCATGTTATACCCTTACAATGACCGACATTGTGTTTTTAAAAAATAAATAAATAAATAAAAAAGTCACTGATAGTAATAACGTGGCTGAGTGAATTTGAAAACAAAATAAAAATTTTTTTGTACTTATTACTTTTTAACTTAACTTTACTTTTATAAACCATCCATCTATCATACAGGCGGCCGTTGATGGGGTGTGTGGTTCATTGTACCTTAAAACTAATGAATCATTTGAACATACATTTTTTTCAATCATATTTTTTCAAATTGTAATAAATTCAAGTCAGTGGAAGCAGACTATATTATCTTCATTTTACATTAATGAACCATATTAACATTTTTTTTTTATTTTTATTTTTTATATAAAACTGCCACATATATACAGTCAAGCCCAAAACTATTCATACCCCTGGCAAATTTTGATTTAAATTTGCTTTTATTCAACCAACAAGGTTTTTTTTGACCAGAAATGAAGGGCACTTTTTTTCAAATGTAAATAAAAGCTGAGAAATATTTTTTTCCAAAATGATGCCTCTTGTACATCGTCTTATTATCTTCGGGGAGAAGCCTGTGTCATTTCCGGTCAAAAAAAAAACCTTGCTGGTTGAATAAAAGTAACTTTAAATCAAAATTTGCCAGGGGTATGAATAATTTCGGGCTTGAGTGTATGTGTGTGTGTATATATATATATATATATATATATAGGGCTGTGTGTAGCAATAATTAAAGATTTGTTAAATTAGACATAAAGGCACATTAACTACCCCGGAGCTCCTTATTATATTACAAGTAATATTTCAACTGTAAGGTCAGTTTTTGTACAATTAACATGTACATCTACACATGAAGTCTCATTACATTCCTGTAATGTTTTATGTCATTCAAATAACTAACATTGATATTAGTAATAATTTACAGGAAGGAAGAACCAGCTCTTTCTCAAAATGTGTGTGGCTCTTAAAAGAGCCTTTTTTATATTAACGTGTCAGACGGAGGACAGCTCACTTCTTCTTGGTTGCTGCCTTCTTCACTTTGGGTTTATTCTATTTACAATTAAACTCATCTTGAAGACTCGTGCAAGTAGTCTGCTCCCTGTCATCCATTCAGTGTTACATGGACAGAAATGATAAAGAATTAATTTTATTTCTTAAGATATAACAAAATTAAAGTCGCTCTTACAACTATAAGTCATAGACATATTTTTCATTTTCATACTAAATCTTTGATTTTTATTGCGAGGATGATGCTTAACCCAAATGACCATTATTATTATTATTATTATTATTATTATTATTATTATTATTATTATTAAGGAAGAACCAGCCCTTTGTCGGATGTGTTTGGCTCTTAAAAGAGCCTTTTTATATTATTAGCGTGTATCGGACGGAGGACAGCTCACTTCTTCTTGGGTGCTGCCTTCTTGACTTTGGGCTTGGCGGCCTTCTTGGCGGGGGCTTTCTTGGCTGCTGGGGCCTTCTTCACCACCTTCTTGGGACTCTTGGCTGCCTTCTTGGGGCTCTTTGCTACCTTCTTAGCGGCTGCAGGTTTCTTGGCCTTCTTGGGAGACTTTTTAGCTGCTGGTTTCTTAGCTGCCACTGTCTTCTTCTTGGCCGCTGCGGGTTTCTTGGCGGCGGGCTTCTTGGCTTTAGGAGCGGCTTTCTTTGCCACCGGCTTCTTGGCCTTGGGCTCCACCTTCTTGTTCATCTTGAAGGAGCCGGACGCTCCGGTTCCCTTGGTCTGGACCAGAGTCTCCTTGGCCACCAGGTTCTTGATGGCGGTCTTGACGCGGACCTTGTTCTTCTCCACATCGTAGCCTCCGGCAGCCAGAGCCTTCTTGAGGGCGGCCGCTGACACGCCGTTCCGCTCCTTGGATGCGGCCACGGCTTTGACGATCAGCTCACTCAGGCTGGGGCCGACCTTCTTCGGTTTGGAAACCTTCTTCTTGGCTGCCTTTGCCGGGGCGGCGGCTGGAGCTGGTGCTACCTCTGCCATTATTTCCTCTTCGTTTTCAATCAACCACGAATGATCACACTGACTGAGCGGACTGTTGGAAAGCTCGGAGCAGGAGGCGGTACTTAAACACACCATGAGAACCGTGGAGACTCAGCCCAGCCCCGGCTCCTCCGTGCAGTCTCAACACCGGGACACTTGTGTTTTCTCCTCACTGAAAAAACACTCAAAACTCACCGTGGGAGAGGTGCTGAGGGCTGACAGTGAAGGGAGCCGATAGCGGACTTTATTCTCTTCATATTGAAGTCATGAACAGCTCTAATAGTTTCTGCATTTTCTTTGTGGAGCCTCGAAACCTCAGCTGTTCACCGCGGTGGCCACCGCTGCTCAGTGGCTTTCCCCACTCATTTCTCTCCGAAAATGATTTAAAATGCACCACAGCTTCACCAAAACTAGTTTTCCAGCTGCTCCACATGTTTGTTCAGAGATCCTATGTGAAAATAACTTCTTGCTTATGACCAGTTTTTAATAAAGTGGAGTTTCCTCCTAGCAGCTAACACACTGCTGATGGCTGAGGCTTATGGTGAAGTTTAGCCAGACTCTGTCAGAGCTGTCAACATTTCATGCTGATGATGCTGGAGTTTATCGATCAAATTAAGAAATACATGTTAGTCTGATGTGCTGGGACAGATTACTGAGTGTCCAGGTTTTTATTACTTCAAATTAATGCCTAGAATCGTTTGAATGTAAACAAATACAAACACATTAAGTAGAGCATCACACCGTTGGTACTTTCCAGAAAATAAAACACTTTGTCTTTCACTTTCAGAATTTATTCACAGGTGTTGAGGTTCAATGTCTTTGCTGTGAACACTGAGAATGATGTACGAAAATATCAGTTCAACAGATACTGCATCCAGATGTTACAGTGATACATCTGTGTATCAGTATTACAAAGAGTGTTTACTTGGTGTCATAAATATTTCCCAGCAATGACTTCAGGTATTGATGATCAGATGTACCATTGTCTGGAAACAGTGACTGACAGTGAAATGCTCATCAAACAATTTCTTCCTGACCTAGAGGAGAACTGGCACATACTGCACCTCTGATTGCACTCATGGACACATACATGCATTTGTAGTTACACACATATATACTGTATGTACAGATAGCTTCTTGTGAGCATGTGTAGAGTACTTACATCCATAATGTTTGGGTCAAAGACATTTCTCCTTATGATGCACCTGTGTTTTATTTGTGATTTAAGTACATGGTCCAGATTTTATTTTGAGTGTATTTGCATAAATTTTGGTCTCACTATATTGAGATTAAACTTTAATGCAGGGAAACAGCAGTTACACAAGCTCTGCCAAGGTTTGAGTTTTATGTTTCCCCAAACACATGCAATACCTTTATGCTTAGGATTTGTGTGTGGTCTGTGTAAAAAGATGAGTTGTATGTCATTTTAATCTTGCTTGTGAAAAACTAAGATTTAAGAGGAACAAACATGATTTATAAGAAAGTCTTTCTACACTGTCAGGGATGATCAGGTTTTTCAGGCTATTAATTGATTGGAGGTATAGGCTATAATACTTATATGTAATAATAAAAGACCAGTTCAGTGTGTGTAGTGATGTACCGAAGGATTTTCTCTTTTAGATGAAGTGTGTGGCTCTTAAAAGAGCCTTTGAGTTGGTTCAAGTTGAGCAGCAGAGCTGTTTACTTGGAGCTGGTGTACTTGGTCACGGCCTTGGTGCCCTCGGACACGGCGTGTTTAGCCAGCTCACCGGGCAGCAGGAGACGCACGGCGGTCTGGATCTCCCTGGAGGTGATGGTGGAGCGCTTGTTGTAGTGAGCCAGACGAGACGCCTCGGCAGCGATGCGCTCAAAGATGTCGTTGACGAAGGAGTTCATGATGCTCATGGCCTTGGAGGAGATACCAGTGTCGGGGTGCACCTGTTTCAGCACCTTGTACACGTAGATGGCGTAGCTCTCCCTCCTGGTCTTTCTCTTCTTCTTGCCGCCCTTGGCTGCGGTCTTAGTCACGGCTTTCTTGGAGCCCTTCTTGGGCGCAGACTTTGCGGGTTCAGGCATCCTGGTCAGTTACTACTTCACAGAAACAGATGAATCGGTGAAGGAAGCAGCGA